CCATACGCTAGTTGAAGTTCTATTGGCTGTAAGTTAACCTTTTCAAAGCTTTCCACGGTCGCTTTAAATATACTATTCACGAACTTTCCATTTTACCTTTATAATGAACGGTGTGATTTGCTAATTCATTCCTGTTGCTCTGCTCGTCCGATTCGTCTTCTCTCTGTCCTGTGGGGGGCCAGCGACTTCGGGTTTGATTGGCAATCAAGCGTCCATTCAGGCGAGGGACGAACACTTCAACTGGCGACGGGTTGAACCCTAATCAAGATGTCCATATCGGCTGACGAGCTCAAGGCCATTCTACTGCAGCAACAAGCACAATTTGAGGCATCCCAACTCAGGCTGATCGAAACTCTTACGCGCCAACTCTCAATCCAGACCGGTTCACTGTCTACAAACGTCAAGCCGTCCGCATCGGTAGACGCCATCACTAACAGCATTACCGAATTTTCGTACGACCCCAATGCTGGCCTAACTTTTGAATCTTGGTTCAAGCGTTATGAAGATGTGTTCCGCGTTGAACTTGGAGACCATGATGACGATTGGAAAGTCCGATTGCTGTTAAGGAAACTTGGAACAGCAGAGCACTCCAGGTATGTCAACTTTATTTTGCCTAAGAACGCTCGAGACTGCACTTTTGAGGAGACTGTCAAATGCTTGGGCCAAATATTTGGAGAGCAGTCATCCATCTTCAACACGCGATATCAATGCCTGAAGATCACCAAGGTGGACGCTGATGACTACGTCACTTACGCTGGCATCGTCAATCGCGAGTGCGAAAAATTCGACATCAAATCCATTACGGCAGATCAGTTCAAATGCCTGATTTTTATCTGTGGCCTACATTCTCCACGGGATGCAGAGATTCGCACCAGGCTGCTGAGTAAACTTGAACAAGACCAGCAAATGACTCTACAGACCATAACCACTGAATGCCAACGATTGCTGAACCTCAAGCATGACACGCTTATGCTGGAGAAACAACAATCAACTCCAAGTCTTAGTGTATTAAAAACAACCTCAAAGAAACCGCTTCCAAGTGAAACAGGCCATGAAAAGCCCAGACAGAATACCAAGCCGCCGACTGCCTGTTGGAGATGTGGTGAGTGGCATTTTGTTCGAGTGTGTCCATTCCTGAAACACGTTTGCCACAAGTGTCATAAACGGGGCCATAAGGAAACGCACTGCCGATGCAGACCGCAGTTCAAGCGTGCAAGACATACGCGACCGCATTCAATTGTTCCCAAAAGATTCAGCAACTATAGTACGGTTCAAGCGGCCTACTCTGATGAACATGTGGCTCGCAGAAAGTACATCAGAGTTCACCTGAACGGGCAACAAGTGCGTCTTCAGCTAGATACAGCCTCGGACATCACAATTATCTCCAGCAAAACTTGGCAGTATATTGGTGCTCCGTCAATCAGCCGAACGACACATGTTGCACTTAACGCTTCAGGAGGTCAACTTAATCTCATTGGTGAGCTGCAGTGTGAAATGGTTTTTGGCGCTGCTCGGGCAAACGGTGTCGTGTACATTACGGGCCTGTCACATTTGAATCTTCTTGGACTCGACTGGATCCAGAAGCTCCACCTGTTCGACATTCCCCTGAGTCAAGTCTGCAATACCCTCCGGCTCGGATATACGAGGCCCTCTTCGGAAGGTGACGAACCAAACATCAACCTGATCGAGCAGCTACGAAGGAAATTCCCGTCTGTGTTTTGCAACGACTTGGGAAGATGCACAAAGACCAAAGCAAGCCTTACTCTCAAAGACGGTGCCAAACCCGTATTCCGACCCAAAAGACCGGTACCGTACGCTGCGCTGCCGATTGTTGATGCGGAACTTGATCGTTTGGAGCGGGCAGGCGTCATCCAACCTGTGAACTATTCAGCGTGGGCAGCACCTATTGTTGTCGTCAAGAAGACCAATGGAGCCGTTCGTATCTGTGCTGACTACTCTACGGGATTGAATGCTGCTTTGAAAATGCACCAGTATCCTTTGCCAGTCCCAGAAGATTTATTTGCTAAGCTCAGTGGTGGCGCTTACTTTGCAAAGCTAGATTTATCAGATGCTTATCTTCAAATTGAAGTCGACGATGCTTCGAAGGAGTTGCTGTCAATCAATACGCACCGAGGTCTTTACCAGTTCAACCGTTTGCCGTTTGGTGTCAAATCAGCTCCCGCGATTTTCCAACAAATTATGGATACGATGTTAGCTGGGTTATCAGGAGTCGCAGCTTACTTGGACGACATCATAATCAAAGGGGCTACCTTTCGAGAGCTGACGGAAAGACTGGAAGCAGTTCTCCACCGCGTTAACGACTACGGTTTCCACTTGAAAGCAGAAAAGTGCAATACCGGCATGAAGTGTGTAAAGTATCTTGGCTTCATCATCGACAAGGATGGCCGTCGTCCGGATCCTTCCAACATAAGTGCCATAAAACAGATGCCTCCCCCTGACAATGTGGCGAAGCTCAGATCATTCTTGGGGTTGATCAGTCATTACAGCTCTTTTGTGCCCGAAATGCATCGGCTACGAGGACCACTCAATGAACTTCTGGTAAAGGATCGCAAATTTGTGTGGTCTCCTGAATGTCAAGCCGCATTTGATAATGTCAAGTCTATATTGTGTTCTGACCTATTGCTAACGCATTTCAATCCGGAGCTGGAGATCGTAGTTGCTGCTGATGCGTCAGACTACGGAATTGGAGCAGTCATATCCCACATTTTCCCCAATGGTTCGGAGAAAGCTGTGGCGCATGCGGCCAGATCACTCACCCCAGCGGAACGTAACTATGGACAGATCGAGAAAGAAGCTTTGACTATAGTGTTTGCAGTCAAGCGATTTCACAAAATGCTCTACGGACGAAAATTCACGCTGTTTACTGACCACAAACCCTTGGTCGCAATCTTTGGATCAAAGAAAGACATTCCGGTCTGCACGGCCAGTCGTCTCCAACGCTGGGCAACTGTTCTACTTGGTTACGATTTCGTCGTCAAATATCAATCTACACACAACATTGGTCAAGCAGATGCGTTATCTCGTTTAATTGGTACACAGCATCAAGAACCAGAGGATTTGGTAGTTGCTCAAATCTCCGTAGAACCCCAAGTACAGCAAGTTGTGTCTGACATTTTCGGTGCCTTACCAGTAACATTCGAAATGGTGCGGGAAGCGACCCAGCATGATTCTACCCTTCAACAAGTGATTGATTTCCACCTCAATGGATGGCCTAAGAGAGTTACAACGCCGGAGCTTCAACAATTCCACCAACGGAAGGAAGCACTATCAGTCGTCAGAAACTGCCTGCTGTTCTCAGATCGCGTCGTCATTCCACACATCCTTCAAGAGAGAGTCCTCCGACAATTTCATACTGGCCACCCGGGAATGAATCGCATGAAATCGCTGGTACGAAGCTATGTGTATTGGCCCTATATGGATTCCCAGATCGAGAGTTTAACCAAGAATTGTCCCCGATGTGCTAGTGTATCAAAACAACCAAGGAAGACGGAATTGCAATCCTGGCGAATACCAACGGAACCATGGTCAAGGGTACACATCGACTTTGCAGGTCCAATTGATGGTCACCATTTTCTCATTGTTGTCGATGCACACAGTAAATGGCCGGAGGTGATTCCAATGGTGAGAACCACAGCAGCAGCCACTGTCTCCGCTCTTCGACAGATATTTTCTCGTTTCGGTGTTCCCCACACGTTGGTTTCGGACAATGGAACACAATTTACCTCATCTGAATTTGTCGTCTTCTGTCGCAGAAACGCGATCGTCCACGTAAGGTCTCCACCCTTCCACCCACAATCGAACGGGCAAGCGGAACGATTTGTGGATACCCTCAAAAGAGCTTTGCTAAAGATGAAGGGGGAAGGTACCTTGGAGGAGATTCTTGACACATTTCTGCTGACGTATCGCACAACTCCGAATCCGCAGACACCGAACGCCCTATCTCCGGCTGAAACTTTGTTTCAAAGGAAAATCCGTGTGCCGCATGATGCCCTCAGGCCCAGGAAGGATCAGTTGCTGTCCCGCAACTATCAGATGGAGCGACAATTCAACATCCGACACGGTGCTCGGAAGCGAAGCTTTAATGTTGGTCAACAAGTTCTGGCGAGAGACTATCGCATCCACTATCCTAAATGGGCTATGGGCCATGTGCTATACAAACGTGGTAACGTGATCTACGGTATCCAGGTTGGGACGGCAGTTTGGGTAAGACATGCCAATCAGCTGCTAGAAGCACGGACTGGGGAACAAGTGCAACAACAAGTACCAGCAACGCAGTTACCTCTGGACATCCTGGCCGACGCCGGTGAAGCGAAGACTCCCCAACAAGCCCCAACACAGCAAGCACAACATTCGCCCCGAAACCTAGCAGCACAGAGGCCGAAGCGGCGACGCAAATTCGTGTCACCCATGCAAGTCAACCCCAAGCTGAAATCTTACAACACAACTCAAAGGGGGGAAGTGTTAGGAAGGAATACACGAGTCGAACAAGCCAGGACCCCATCGCCTCGGCCGGCTATCCAAACTCATCCGCCCTGATTGGGGCGAACAGAAAGCCAACCAGGAGAAGCGGCCAATGAACGCTAGGTTGAAGTTCCCTTATTGGCTGTAAGTTAACCTTTCCAGAGTTTTCCACGGTCGCTTTAAATATACTATTCACGAACTTTCCATTTTACCTTTATAGTAGTCGCACCTAAAACGGTTACTAGTCGTGTTCTTAACTGCCATACTGCCACTCATACCTTAAGGTTACCTGCCCACGGGGTCACCCATAACCAGTCCATCAATATAGTAAACCCTCCCGACTCTTCAGCGATGAGGCTGCGTGAGCGAACATCTTAGCACCTCCGACTTTTAAAACTAAATGTTGCCGTCGCTATGAACCTGGGAAAGAGTATCCAGAGGACAGTTTCGCGAAGCAGCTAAAGAGCACTAACACTCAGGTTGTCAATTTGGACATGACCACCACAGTGCTCTGCGACCATATTGCTTTCCGTGACGACAACAGACCAAGTAAAATTGATACGCCGCTAGCAAACGGGCCACTAGCGTGGGGCCTAAATCAGGTATCCAGCACTCCATTCTCCCTGAATGTGGATTCTACTGCTCCTACGCCCGAAAAACCCGAGTCGGCTGAAACTCAGGATCACCCTCCTTCCCAAAAAATTACAACCACACCTCCAGTCTCAGCGGTTTGGTCAACTCAAACACTATCGCCAAATGTAGTTACCGCGGCCGGAGGCCGAGTGATCTGCGCACCTGGTTTGCAAACATAGGGTCCCCGGTTCGAATCCGCGTAGGAGTGAGCGTCCTCGCGGTATACTCAGCCCGTGCGCGACTGGTGGTGGTTGCGCGGCAGCGCAGCACCGTTACGGCGTACAGCTGACACACACATGAGATTACCGACAACCCCCTACAGCCAAAGAAATCACTAGTTTACAGTGTCCCTGCTTTCACTATACCTGACTCTACTGATCTCCTTGACCGTTACAATTTTCGGTAGAGTAGCTAATGTGAAATTACAAATGCTTAACGCTCTTATGGTGACCAAAAGGATACAGGCCTACCCGGTATCAGTCACATATAGTTCTGTCGACTATCCCACGTTGGAAACGCTTATTAACAAGCTAAACACCAGTAGAAATATCCCTCACTTATCAAACGTTTACTTTAGTAGGTTACTTGCTCAACCCTATGTTTTCATCCATTCGCGAACATCTGAAGCCTCCATTCTGGGTAAACCATGTGCGCTCACTGACCCTTTTCGCAATATAAATCCTACTTATATCCTTGCTAGACTAAATGAACCGTCTTTTTTAACGACTTAGGGAGGAAATCCAGTCTCATCGCTCCACATCAAGCCTACAGCCTTTTCTGAACTTTCTCAAGAATGATCCAAACATAAATTGGGAAATTAGTTTTGCACTATCAACAAATTCCATTTCTGCTTAAAATTACCCCAACCCTTCGTCCCTAACTTACAGTGATACATCGCCAGACATGTACCCCAATTTATTCAACCAGTTAGCGTATCTACCTATCCAGCCATTATCCACTAACGCGCTTCTTTTCAATGCTCGCTCACTTCAAAATAAGATGCCCACTCTTCACTCCTTGATGTCTCGCTTCAAACCTGACTTTATCTTAGTGACAGAGACATGGCTTGCAAGCAAAACGTCACAGTCCTGCTTCCTTCTTGACCATTATCACAGTTTTCTTGCTTGTCGAACCTCGGCACCTGGAGGTGGTTGCATCATATACGTCTCTGATAACTTTCAAGCATCGCTGTTGTGCGCTTCTCTTCAAGATAGTAATATTGACAGCATAATTCTACCTGTTGCTCTAGGTAGAACCTCGATGATTTTGGGTGGCATTTACTCTGCTCCGAATCGCAGTACAGATGACTTACCAATCCTGGAACACAATTTGCTACTTAGCAGTACTACCCGTTAACTGCAAGATAGTAGGAGGAGAGTTCAACATGCCCGATCTTGACTGGAAATCGTGCGCCGTACCTGCTAAATATTCGACACTGTTTTCTTCTACACAAATCTATGGATGGGCGCAACGTGTCCATCCACCCACCAAAGGAAACCACATCCTTGGTTTATTCCTTACGCTAGGCCTATCCAATGTCTCTGCTGTTGTCCTAAACGAATTCCGTGGCAGTGATCCCAAGATGGTCCAACTCTCCTTCGAGAAACAAGTTTCTGATCCCATCCGGACAAAACCTGCACTCTTCTATAGACCATACAATTCCATACAACGGGAACTGTTTTCCGTCCTTCTGTGTTATGGTCCCACGATTTCTCATCCAATCTTGCAAATCAATGAGATTCGCACTTGGTGCAATACGACATTCTCAGTATCCCCGTGGAGTAGTTATTGTATAGAAATGCACCTTCTCAGTTCCCTGTTCATAGCATATTGCCTCATCAGTGAATATGTTGGAATGAACGCTCATGGTCCTGCCTGAAACAAATTGGGCATAGTAACCACACTTATTTCCTGCAACAAGGATCAATACTACGATGGAAGTATAGGCTATGCGGCAGCGAGTAGTGTTTAGGCGGCATGGCTTTTCAACACTCCTTTTTCCAAACGTCACATTTCATATTTGATAGGCCTAATTGTAAGGAATGTCTATTTTGCTAATGTAGGTTGTTGGAAGGTAACTTGCAGTCTACAAGAGTGTTGCAAATAACCCTTTTGCCACTACCTGGGATAACAGTAAGCAACTATTGCACACTTCTTGCTTAGGCCAGTTACGCCTATCGGAGCGTCATCACAGTTCTACCGCATTGGTCGAGTTATGATGCACTGCTGTTTCCACGTTGACAACACCTATCTCCATTCCAGCCAGCTGTCCACAGCATATGTATCGACCGATGAACTTGCCTTGTGATGTGCCGTAGTTTGATCATCCCCGCAGGATGCAGCGCGTTTTCACGAAGGACGACACTGAGTACATGTGTAAGTATACTTGTACCTACGTGCATGCTTTCGGAGCTTTCACACCCATGTGCGGGTCTGAAAACTTGAGATAGAATAACAGCTACTATTGGACAGCTGGCAACGTAGTGCGTCCTACCTCACACCAGAAGGAATGACCACTTTTCCCGCATTAACAAAGTAGTGACCAGAGTATTGGGACACGTGGTACGGTGGCTTTAACAGGCTTAAACATGACCAATCGGAAAGGGAGGTTGCCGAGAAAACATGGCGTGCGGTCAGTGCCTTGCACATGCACAGACACACGGTGATGGGATTGGAATTGTTTCAAACGCACCTGGAGTAAAACGGTTAGTCTGACGGAAGAAGGCCGATTCGCGTTCATTTACCTACAGTGGCTCGCTTGTAGTGAACGCCGGTCATTTACGGTTGTTGTCCCCAACATCCCATAGCCATCCAATGTTTAGCGAAATTCGCAACATGCTTCTGCGCGTGCAGAGACATGACTTTCCCTCTCACCTTATTTGTGAGGACGTATGGAATTCTCTGCAAACGAGTGATTTGGTGCAGGGCTCAGCTGAGAAAGAGCCTAACCTCTAAAGACGCACCGACATGAGACCGTTTTGATCAAGAGCGAGATAAGTACTGACAGCCACAACGTGTTTCCGGCCTTCGTTAGCTGTCAGCTAACTTCGCGCTGAGTGCTGAAGGTCATGGCCAACCGTAGGCGTTGGAACGATCGATGGTTATCTGTGTACGTCTCGCTGGCTACGCAGTTAACCCGGCCTAGGCAAGCAAAACGGCGGCGTGAATGTACGCAAGTGATGGCGGCTCAGCTGAGGACGAGGTTAGGCATTGCAACTTGTCAATGTTATTGAATCTTAGGTAATGGAGCACGAGCAGACAATGCAGTCGGGATCACGTAACGTGCCTGTTACTCAGCGCGCGCTGATTATGCGGCTGTAAGGTGCATCTGGTTTAAACGCCGCATCAGCTTCTAGAAAATACAATGCAATGAACGCAAGAATGCGTCGGGTCACCGACCGGTACGTGCTTAAACTAATGAAGAAGTTCGAGCAAACTGGGGGTGTGTGTGACATGAAGAGAACCGGACCGCCTCGTATCACCACGGACGACTGTTCAGTTTGCGCTGTAGTCAGTGAAGTGTCAAAACGTCCCGATCTCAGCATTCGTCGGATCGCACAGCACTATGACACGAACCGTTATGCGATATACCGGCTATTGAAGGAACGAACGTTTGGAAGATTCCGTGCACTTCAAGTGCAGGTTTTGAACCCCTGCGATCCGGAAAAGCGGCATGAATTTTCCGCTAATATCTGGATCACGGGGATATTCTTTCTGTTATGTTTACAGATTAGGCATTGTTTCATCTGTATGGAACAATGAAACATTACTCTTGGGCTACCAGCAACCCACGAAAATTTACCGCACCACGTATGCACCACAGTGTGAAACTGATGGTTTGGGCAGGATTAACAAGGCAAAAAAGCTTGGGCCCATATTTCTTTTCTGGGAATGTGACCGGTAGCTTGTTGTTTTGAAGTACTAACGCCTTATCTTTTCCTGGCATCGTCGTACTTGGAAATGCTGCGGAGATTTGTGCTTCCCCAGTTGGAGACCGAAGGGGCATGCAGTACCATTTGGTGGCAGCAGGATGGTGCATCTGCACATTCTGTTAAAACGGTGCGTGTTTACCTCACCGACAGATTTGGTCACCATTAGATCGAACGCGGTGGACCAATAGAGTGGCCTGCTCGCTCACCAGATTTAAAACCCGTAGAAAATTACTATGGCGCTATCTGAAGCGGTGAGTGTACAAAACAAGGCCGCGTACATTGGAGCAATTGAAAGAAAATATTGGAACGAATGTCGCGCGATCACAAGGGATACATTGGAGAAAGTGCTCGATAATTGCATCAAGCGGTTTCTGCACTGTAAGCAGAACGCCGGCGGACATTTTGAACATATCCTTCACTAGCATATATGATTGCTCTAATACATTTCTGTTAATATACTTATCCTCCTTCATAAATGTGTTAATCACTAAACTGGTCCGCTGCCATATGATGCTAAGGATGCGTCCGGTCGGATAGAATTCGTAACGACCAGACTGTCGTTGAGCAAATAAACAGCGTAGGCACCGAAACGTTCGATGGTTACTTATGAC